AGCTTTCCTATATCCTCAACCCTTTTGCTATTATCCTCTCGGCGTATTAACCAAGGACTCTGCTGCCTCCTCTGCTTTTTCACCTGTACTGTTAGGGTCACCATTCTCCCAGTGCCACTTTCAAATGGCATAAAATCAGTCGTTTTTTGAGGAGCTTTCTTACATTCTCATTTCGACTCTATTCTAGAACTTGGAGACTTCAGATCGTTTGACTCCTATTTTATTCCAATCTATCAGTCTCTTATTGGCCTAAACTGCTCCCCTGTCCAGCCTATGCCCATAGCTGATGCCCCGAACAACTGCCCTGCAGTCTCTGCCTCCATCCTTACCCTCCTCAACCCTAGTCCTTGCTCCATTAGTTATCTCTTCTCAGTATATAAACTTGCTTACGGCCCTCCACCCCCTACCAAAACAAACTACTCCAGATTATTTAAGAAGTCTCACATGATAGCCCTTCCTGGGACTTCAAGTTCCTTCCACCTCCACCACTGCGTTGAAATTCCCGGTTGACATCCCCTCCCACTGTGGCATATCCCCTGATGACTTGTCCTCCCCTTGCTGTTTCCTGAGGCACTGAAGCTCTACTTTGGCTGCAGGGAGGGACCACTGTCTTGTTCCCTTGTACCACTTAGATTTTTTTCTTCTGATTTCCTCTGTCCACTTTAAACTCTAATGTGTTGCAGTTGTGTTCTTGGCCTATTGCTCTTATTCTGTATGTTCTCAATCTAAGTAATTAATGGTTCTAATATAACAAAATGTAGTTAAGTACTCAGTGTTGGTATCCTGGCTTCACCATTACAGCTATATTGCAATAAGCCAGTTATTAACTCTTAACTCCTCAGTTAACCTTTGTCAAATGGGGATACAATTTTCCCAATTTAAAAGATTAGATTGAATATTAAATTAGATAATTCATGAAGTATTTAATCTTCTGTCTGGTCCATGATAAGCACTCAATGTCAGCTATTAATGCCTGCTGCTGACCTCCAAATCTGTATCTTCCAGATTGAGTTTCAGGTGCAGTATATCCAAGTGCTTGATAGATCCACGTGAATGTCCTGTAGTCCTCTTTAACTTGACATGCCCACAACTAACAGCATTCCTTCTCATCTCCAGGACTTATTCACATTTTCCTCGTTTTAGTTAATGACACCATCATCCAAGTCAGAAATGTGGGAGATTTATTAGACTATTCCCTGTATGCTACTCCCAAATAATTCTTATTTTTACCATTTAAACATCCATTTAATCAGTTCCACTCTTATAATTTCTTGCTTATACTTTGTCTTTTTTTGAGAGAGGGGAGGAGAGAGAAATATCAATTTGTTGTTCCACTTATTTATTCATTCATTAGTTGATTCTGGTATGTGTCCTGACTGGGGATCGAACCTCTAACCTTGGAGTATTGGAACGATGCTCTACCAACTGAGCTACCTGGCCAGAGCTAAAAATCTTTTTTTTTTTTAAATATATCTTTATTGATTTCAGAGAGAGGAAGGGAGAGGGAGAGAGAGAAATAGAAACATCAATGATGAGAGAGTCATTGATCGGCTGCCTCCTGCACGCCCCCAACTGGGGATCGAGCCCACAACCCAAGCATGTGCCCTGACCGGGAATCAAACTGCGATTTCCTGGATCATAGGTCAATGCTCAACCACTGAGCCACGCCGACTAGGCTAAAAAAATCTTTAAAAGCACATGTGGCTAAGGCAGTTTTGAAAAGGAACAAAGAAGATGGGTTGGGCTACCAGATATCAAGACATAGTAGAAAGCTAATAGTAATCTAAATGTTGGGGTATTAGTGCAGGAGTAGAGAAAGAGACCAGTGGCATAGAATAATAAACTCAAACAGATTAATGTATATGTTAGAAGTTGACTGTGATAGAGGATACATCACAAATCCATGGTGAAAATCATTACAGAATGTAGTTATTCATACTCTAAGTTATAGATACATGTGTGACTGTTGAAAGTATAAAAAGTATGTACAAAAAGTGGATTGAAAGGACACACCAAACTTACAATAGTAGTTGTTATATTGGGGGTGAGGTGAGGTAGAGTAGGGCAGAGGTTAAAGGGGTCTTAAATGAAAACTGTTTACTCACAACACTTCTGATACCAAATGTGTGAGTTTTCCCAACACCAAACAACTCTCCACCTCTGGACACCAACTGAGTATCCTATAATTCAGTTCTGCCACTAACTACCCCGAGGTTAGTGCAGATCCCACAAGTTAAGGGCTCAGTCCCACAAGACTGCCCTCCACTTCAGATGCCTATGATTAGTGGATCCCCAGGTTATCCATACTTCTGCCTGACTTGGCTACACATTGGTGCCTACAGCCACCTCCTTAGGTTTTATAATTTGCAACAATGGTTCACAAACCTGAACTCAGAGAAATACTTCATTTACTCTTACTGGTTTATTATAAAGGATACCGACCGCTCGGGAACAGCCTAATGGAAGAGAGGCATAGGGCAAGGTATAGGGCACATCGCCCTATCAGTACCTCAATGCATTAAATCCAGAAGCTCTCTGAATCCCTTTGTTTAGGGGTTTTATGGAGGTTCCATCACATAAGCATGATTGATTAAATCATTGACCATTGGTGATTAACTCAATCCTTAGCTCCTCTCCCTTCCCTGGAGGTCAGATGGGGTTGAAAATCCCAGCCCTTAAATCATGCCTTGGTCTGGTTCCTCTGGCATCCAGCTCCCATTCAGAAATTATCTAGGGGCCCACCAAGAGTCACCTCATTAGCATACAAAGCCAATTATCACTGGAGATTCCAAGGCTCTTAGAAGCTCTTTGCCAAAAACCTAAGATAAAGACCAAACACATATCTGCAGACTTTGAGTAAAGCAAGTTATTTTCTGTAATGTGAATGGACCTTATCCAATCAGTTGAAGGCCTTAAGAGCAAAGACTAAGAGTTCCCAACAAAGGAATTATGCATCAAAATTAACACAGAAACCCTGCCTGAATTTCTAGCAGGTAGATCTTGGGCTGCAAATCAACTTTTTTTCCCCCCCCTCACTTGAGATTTCTTCCATTGCTTTTCAGAGAGAGTGGAAGGGAGAGAGAGAGAAACATCAATGTGAGAGAGACACATCAATTGGTTGCCTCCCGCATGTGCCCCACCAGGGCCTGGGATTGAGCCTGCATCCGAGGTACGTGCCCTTGGCTGGAATTGAACCCAGGACCCTTTAGTCTGCTGGCCGGTGCTCTAACCATTGAGCCAAACCAGCTAGGGCTGCAACATCAACTCTTACCTGAACTTCCAGCCTGCTATCTGCTCTATACATTTCAGACTTGCTAGTCCCTACAATTGTATAAGCCAGTTCCTTAAATCAGTCTCATTCTTGCTTTCTAAGCTATTGGCTCTGTTGTCTGGAGAACGCTGACTAATACAGCAGATGATGCCAGTGTGTCTCTGTCCAGTCTTGTTTCCTGGACTAGATTCCAGTCCGTTCCCACCTCCAATTGTTTAACAGTCATTTTCACTTGGAGCACTTACAGTCATTTCAAATACAGCTTGTGAAAACCTAAATTCAAGCAGTTGTTTCATATTTACTGAGCATGAACTGTATCTAGTAAGAAAGAATAGACATATTGGCTGTCAAATTATAATGAACATAATCAAGTTCTTCAGTTAAATATCAATGAACTGAATTCTCCCATTAAAAGAAAAAGACTAGTAATAGATGGGCTAAAAAAATAAAACAAATCCAAATCATGTGTAGTTTCTAATAAACACCAAAG